AATTCTGCACAACGACCTTGACTTCGACCCGGCCAAACGAAGTAACAGGGAGATTCTGAAAAAGATCGTTGTGAAGGAGAACGAGGCGAAAGGGGCATCGAAGAATCTCGTCTCATTTTCACGGAGCGACTCGTCCAAGTCGAGACCCACCGTTGTCATACCGGACCATGTCAATGGCTCAGAAGTCGCTCTCGGCACAGACAACGGCGATGCAGAGCCATCCTCCCCGGCACATCCAGTTACCTCGCCGTCCGTCATCTCACCTTCTGAACCGCCAGAGGAAGAGGAAGTAGACCTGGTTGAGCAACTGTACGGCGACGAGAGCTCACTAAAAGTGAACAACTTCGACCTCTCAGACTCCATAGTCCTCCCGCCCGCACCAAAGAACAAGGAACTCGACATGGTTGCTTGGTCTCGCGCCTCCTCAAACCCCGATACGCCTTATTCCGACAGGCCCGATCCTTTTGCTTCCAACGGCCCCTCTCTCAACCTCAGCATCCCTCCATCCCGCGCTTCCCAATTCCCCCCAACCTCTGATCCGAATACACCTGCGCGACCACACACAGCCCGCGTACTCTCCCTGGATGAGTACTCAGAGCGTATGCGCACAGCGGCGGTCATGCTTGCCCAGCTCAACGCGAGTCAGTCCCTTGCAGCGCCCTCTATCCCGGGCTTGCCGTCGTCTACCGAGTCCTCGATGCTTGGAGCGCCGCTCCGCTGGCTTCCTGGCACAAGCTGGCTTACAGGCGCAACAAATGGTACTAGTACCCCTGTCATTCCTAATGCGTCTGGCGAGCCTGGGGCATCTACCGCGGGAACGCCGATGCGCATGAGGTTACCTGCATCTGAGGCTGCTGCGATCCGGGATCGCATCATGGAGGAGATGTTGGCGCTCGAGGAAGAACGGATGGCACGCATGAAGGAGAACGGGGTCAACGAGGGCTCGCTGAGGATGGCTCCTACGAATGGAGACATGAAGTCGGCGGAGGATGAAGGTATCATCCGGAGGGAGCTGAGCAAGGCGGACCCTTCTGCTGTCGTGTTCAGTGAGTCGTGGGCGGCGAAAAAGGTAGGCACGGGATCCATGATGATTCCTTGTGACGTCTGGTGTTAACGCGTACTTTCCTCAGGCTCGTGTACGGCAAGCCTCGCCCTATGGACATCTTGGTAAGAATCCTGGCTTCTTGCCTGCACGACAATGGTTGACCTGCTTGCTTGCAGCCAACTGGGACTGCGTCTCGGTTATTGTCAAGACAGGCGGTGACTTACGACAGGAGCAACTCGCTGTTCAACTCATACAAGAGTTCGAGAAGATCTGGAAGGACGAGAACTGTCAATGCTGGGTACGATAGTACGTAGTCTGCTTAGTTGTCAGTGTTTCCCAAAAGACGCTGATATGTCGTATCACCCCACAGCTTCCGCATCCTCATTACGGGTAACTCTTCGGGTCTTGTCGAGACAATCACCGATGCCGTGTCAATACACTCGATCAAGAAGGCGGAGTATGCACGAAGGTTAGCGGAGGGTCGTCTGGGGCACGTCACCTTGCTCGACCACTTCAAGTCGGTGCGTTGTCATAGCATGTTTCGTTTGTCTTACCGCGCATTGACGTCGCGGTCAGACATATGGCGATCCGACCTCAGCGAAGTACGTTCGTGCGCAGCGCAACTTTGCAAAGTCCCTAGCCGGATACTCGCTGGTCACGTACCTCCTCCAGATCAAGGACCGCCACAACGGCAACATCCTCCTCGACCGTGATGGGCATCTTATCCACATCGACTTCGGTTTCATGCTCTCCAACTCCCCTGGTAACATCGGCTTCGAGGCTGCACCATTCAAGCTTCCCCTCGAGTACATCGAAGTGCTCGGCGGGCTTGACAGCTCTGCGTATCGCGAGTTCCTGAAACTTTTCAGGGAGGGCTTCGACGCCGCTCGGAAGCACTGCGACAGGATCGTCAGTGAGTATTCGTGCTTGACGTACGATTCTGAAGAACGGATCTGACGCGTTGTTATAGCTCTGGTGGAGTTGATGCAGAAGGACTCCACGCTGCCTTGCTTCGCGGCGTTCGGTGAACAGACCGCGCAACTCCTCCGGGAGCGCTTCCAGCAGGGCCTCACGCAGTCCGCGGTTGAGGAGCATGTCCAGCGACTCATCGACACGTCTCTGGGGTCAAACTGGACGCGACTCTACGATTCGGTATGTCTCCCACGCTTCATGTCCGCCTTCCTGATCAACGATACTGATGAACACCGAAGTATCAATATTATTCCCAGTCCATCTTATGAGGGAATGTCATGACACTACTGCTACTAGTGTCCAGATGTGATAGCATCCACCGCCAGTCGCGCAGTCTATATGGACGTGACGACGGGTGCAGAGCGCCGAGGGCTGCAACAAGCATCTCCATGGACGACCCACGAGCTGGATCCCAGTACGGCTAGCTGCTCGAGGTGAGCTGAGAGGTATTAAGGCGAGGATGAGCACAAGCACAGGCCAGATAGAGGGCAGCAAGCAATAAATAGCAGGGGATACAGGATACACAACGTCCGATTCCGCAACCACGACGCGGGTCTTACGTGAACAGCGCATCGTAACGCTTGAGACAGCTGTACCACTCGTAGTCTGTACCATTAGCTTATTGTCAGCGTATGCACTCAACCTAGACGACTGAATGCACGAACCGAAGTTCTCTTTGGGGTTGCACCAGCACTTGCCCTTCTTGTGCAGCTCGCCTTGTGGGCAGTGCTGGAAGGGGTTGTGGCGGTATCCTGTGGAGACTGATTAGCATGAGGAAGACAAATGTAATGTGAGCTCTCGAACCAATGTCGTTGAAGAAGTGAATCTGCTCCTTCTTCGCGAAGAGCGCAACACCGAGGCTGTGCACGGGCGCATCTCCCCATCGCTACGAAGTCTTGCAGTGAGTTCGAGGATCAGCTCGGCCAACGGAGAGTGCGCACCTCGTAGTAGAAGCCACCCTTCTCGTCGAGGAAGTCGAAGAACTTGGAGTATGCTTCACCTCTCCAGAAGTCAAGGTCGCCGATCTCGAAGTTACTCCAGACTGAGCGCGCGGAAATCAGTTCAAATACGGTAGCCGCCAATTGCAACCGGCGCTCACAATGACAGTTGTTGTAGGTCTCGCCACCATCATCAGAGATGAACCGCATGGCGTTGTCGGGCTCGACGAGGCCGGGGTTGCTGTTGATGAACTCTGCCGGACATGAGAACGGACACGAAGGCACCAACCAGAGACAGTCTAACATACCCTTCGCGGCAGTCCAGAGAGTCGGGATAGTCGCAGGATACTCGTATAGCGTGACGGTGAAACCGTAAACCTTCTTCTGGTCTTGCATGAGGAGAAGAGGCTGCAATGCGAGGTCAGCCCGACCAGAGTTTAGACAACCTATGGAAGGTACCTACATCGTAGTGAAGGTCACAAAAGAATGTGACATCAGGCCTACCAGGGTATGAGCTTCAGTTCAGCAAAGAACGAGGGTGCGTACTCGACACGCCAGTAGTAGCGATACTTGTCTAGCAGCGGGTGCTTATAGAAAAACTGCACAACGGTTAAGACCCTTCAACCAGGTACGAGAACTCGAGGCGACTCACGCCTGAGTTGAACCTGCACATATTGCGGTAGGGGACGCTTCCTGTTCTCGTGATTAACGTGGGGCCGGACTGGCAACATAGGACAGACTAACCTCCATAGATGACATTGTGCTCGACCATGTCCTTCCGCGCGGCAGAAGCACGCTCCTCGTCGATCCAATCCGGCTGTACCCAGTGCTCATTGGGAATCAGTCCGAACTCGATCTTGGCGTCCGTAAGGGTCTGTACGCGACTGTGCCAGCCAAGTTAGGAACGGTATGAACCGGTATAAGGAGATAGCGTACTCTTTGAACTCGTCCGAGAAGGGCTCTTCGTTCAGGAAGACATAAGGGTATTGGAACTCCTTGTTGAAACGATCCTCTACAGCGCGGGCTTAACGTCGCAAGAGAGAGTGAGGAAGCACGTCACTTGCCTACTTGCTTCATGCTGACCACTACTCCAGGAAGATCGCCATTGCGAGCCAAGAAGACAAAAGTAGCGTTGGCCTTACGGGACTGAATGGGGGTCGTGGAGGGAACGTAGCGGTCCTCTGGTACGCCGTCTTGGTATGGAGGATGACCTTTCGAACCGGCCAACTGTTCGGAGATGTGGGAAAGGGATGTTGCGCGTCCGTATTCCTCGTGCGAGAACGAGAGGATGAAGTGCAAACTGATCTACGTATGTGTCGCTGTCAGTTTCGGAGTAAATGCGCCGCGCGGTAACATGTAGAACTCACTATGATGACCAGCACCAGTACCACGTAACGCATAGGCGTCATCATCTTGGGCGACAAGCGTTGCCTCTGCGGAGGCTGAGGTGGCAGAGGGAAGATGCTGGTTGAGTGAAGGAGAAGAGGGGAGGAGACAAGATGAGAATGCTGGGACAGCGATGCTCGGCGCGCAGCTCTGTCTCCGTGGATTTCGGCGTCTATCCTCACGGTGTGATCGAGCTCTGCGTCTGTTTTGCGGCTCTTGCCGGTCAACTACGGACCTCCACGGACCACCACGACCCGGTCTCTTCTCGGTTGTGGGCACATTCGCAGACTTGGTCTGAGCTACACAAGCAACGTCTCAACCATGGCTGCGTGGTGCGAACAGTTCCGTATGAACTATGTCCAACTTCTCAAGTCTTCAGCTCACCGCGGCCGTCAACTTGCATGGACCCTCCGGTTCCGGTACACACGCGCCCTACTTCTTTCCGCCACGGTCGTCCACGCGCCGGTAAACTCTTCTGCTCCGGCAGCTAGTGTTTCCTGTCCTTTCTCTCGCCTTTTCTCACCGGTCTGTGTACTCGATGGACTGACAGAGGTTAAGTATATTTCTGACACAATCACCCATGGTTATTGAAGGTCGCTATGCTTCTATTTTTGCCGGCATACGTATTCTATACTGTTGTGCGTGAGTCTCGCTATCATGGTTCGATGGTGTAGTTGGTTATCACGTCCGTCTCACAGGTAGCCTGAACCCTCGTGCACGGGAGGTCTCCGGTTCGAACCCGGGTCGAACCAACTTTTTACTGCTCTTAAAGCCTCCTCAATTGCTTACTTTATTTCTCATTTTATTTCTCACGGCGGTGGGGCAGCAGGAGCGGTTGCCCACCCGTTCACCTTCGCAAGCCCAAGGTCCATGCGCCTATATACCGCTGCCAGTGGCTTCGTTCCAGTCTGAACTCTGCTCATGACCTCCGAAAACCGCGTCTCAGAGCCTTCCTGGAGGTGGACAGGCGAGAGGACCTTCAAGAGGCAGAGGCGGGATGGGTGTCGTCATACCCTCATAGCCGAAGGTGTGGGAAATAAAATGAGGAATAAAACAAGCAATTGAGGAGGCTTTTAGTCATGGCAAGCGGTCCACAGGGCACAGGGAGATACTCTATTAAGATACAAACTTGGTCGAAGAGGAGGAAGGGAGAGGAAGGGTCGGTAAAAAAAAAGCTCCTCTTTCCTCTACCACCATCATCGTGAGGCTTCCCACGGTCCCAGCCGCACGGGTGGCCGCCCCGAAGTGCTTCTCAATGTATCTTGAGTGCTTTGGATCCCTCCTGACGGCCGCAGTGGCGTACGCGCAGCTTCCCGTGTGATGCAGATGACTTCGCAGTCATGATGAGCCCAGGCTTATGCGTTTAGGCGCATGTCCGTTGGTTCCCAGCTGTGTGGCCTGCGCGTAGGTCTCGTGCAGTATGAGGTGTGCCTTGTCGAGGAGCTCCTTTTGACGTGTGAGTATGTGATGGCTTGCCTTGTCCCTGGGCAATGGCTGCTGTGCGCTGGGCCTTGGTGCTGCGGTGTGCGCTGTCGCTATGGGATGGGGATGTCATCCTGCGGAGCTATTGACGCCCACGAACTTGCTCACGTGACAACGTGTCGGGCCCATGTGCCCGGCCGGCTGCTTCTCGTACGCACCTCCTCCTGCCCGACTTCTTCTACGTGCTTCCTGCGCACTGGGGGTTAACGACTGCCTGCGCGGTCGCTGCTCTGGTAGTCGCGACTGTTGTTGCGCTCTGGCTCTGGTATGTTGTTGCTTTCGGTGACTGTGTGCCGGCCCGAACGCTGAACTTCTGTGCTTCGAATTCGCTCATACCTTTCTACCTGACTGATGCTAGCTGCTTCTCCTGTCAGCATGAGCCCTAGGGTGTAGGGCTGCTGTTTCGCCGTGATACGGTCCACGTAAGCATAAGCTGGCATACATAACGACTCTGCATAACTCATGGTCCTCCCCAGCCAGCATGGCACCGACTCGCATCTACGCAAGATGGCGCGAGCAACTTGCTCTTTCCCTGCCCGACCACCTCCTCCCCATCCCAGCCCACGCATACGATGCTCCTGTCCAGATGGCTGTCCAGCCGCACCGTGGTGACCATGTCCAGCTCATCGCCCTCTCGCCCATGGTGTACCGAACCTTCTTCGCGCCGCTGGGAACCAACATTTACGACATGTATGACCCGCAGGTTGAAGGGACGGTGGCAGGAGTGTTTCGGGTGAGCCCTGAACGGCTGGCCTTTGCAATTGAAAACACCCGGGATACGGTGGGCGTCCCCTGGGTGCTGGTCACGGCACCATTCGTACCGGAGGAGATGTTGCCGCCTGGCGATGAGGAGTGTCCGCCAGGCTGGCTGACGGCGGTGTTAGGTGTGGCGAGGAGCACGGTTGGGTTGCAGAGGGATGCGGTGGTGGTGGATGGGCTGGGAGACGTACCTACGCCTCCGGTCGTTTTGCACTACCCCGATCCGCGTGTACGGCGGTGCGACCGGATGCTTACGGAGCGGGCTGGCCGCACCTGGAAACCATATGATCCTTAGAAGTTATGCCTATTCGGTCTATGCCATCATGATCACGTCTTTGGAATGCAACTGATCAATGCCGGTGCGCTAGTGGCCTCGGAGCGCCGTCTGGGCCGTGATGGCTGGGCTACGTGTCAGTGCCAAGGAATGAGGTCATCCTCGGCTGGATGGCTCTCTGGACCGGTCTAGATTCTTCCCTGCACGTGATCGGGGCCGCCCTGCGTGATGTCTGCTTGGTCCTGGGCCTGCCACCCCACGTGTGGATCGCTGGGTGGTATCGATGTACCCCTAGACGCTGATATTGGGCGACTCACCCCCCCCCCCCCCACCCCCCCCTGTGCCTGGATGGCCCTAGCTTGGTGTTGGTGCGGGGCTGCGTCATAGGCAGTGTGGCGCGTTATCTACGCGACCCTATCTCGTCCCGATCTGGGTGGGTTGCTGTGCTTGCGCGCTCATCTACGCGGTGGCCGCTTTAGGGAAAACGTCTATATCCGCGCTCTCGGCGTCCGCCGTCTCTCTCTGCTCCCGCCAGGCCAACTTCCTTTTCCTCTCTGCTGGCTTCGTTGCTGCTAGGCCGTCCCCGTCTCGCCTCAACGTTCATTTCATGGCTTGCTGAGGCAGCCTGCTTCCTTCTGGGTGCGTCCTGACGAGTGCTGACTCGCGCACTCCGCTGCGCTGACTGAAGTCCCCGCTGCTAACGCGATATGTCTGTGTACAGAGTTCAACCGCTTCCTGGTTGCTCCAGACTTGCTTCTTGGACCCTGAAGGAAGGCGGGTGACTTGCCAGCTCATGACAGAGGTCGCCGCGGCGCTGTGATGCAGGCTGTATTTATACCAGTACGTTCTCTGCCTCTCTTCCTGCGCCCTGCTCCTTGGATCAGTGCCCTCTGCCTGCTGTGTCTTCCCCGTTCACCGTTGCTGCCCTCGCCGTGTCCCTGCACGTGTCTCCCCACTCGTCGCCCCCTCCGACGCCGTGCATCATGCCGGTCCCCGACGACGTTGCCGATGGTGTCTTCCGCGACCTTCCGCCGGTCGCTGGCCTGCCGCTGCTCACCCCTGATGGCCCCGTCTCTGTTGGAGACGGCCTTGAGGAAGGCGAGCTGGCCCTGCGCAGCCCTATTGCACTCCGGAGGATGATCTCCCCGCAGGTCGGTCCTGTGCTTCGTGGCTCTTTCGGCTCTGCTAACTCCGCTGCAGGCGTATGCTGCTGCCCATGAGGCGCAAGGGTCGCCGTCGCCGTCGTCGGCGCCGGTGAGGATGAGTCTCCCTCCTGCTCGCAAGCATACCATCTCGCCCCCCGATGATAGCCAGAAGTATGTGCAAGATGGAGCCCCTGCCCGTGGGGGTGCCCTTGTGCAGAGCGTCTCGGTTGGTTACCAGCGTGCGGTCTACGCTATGCTCCGCCCAGATGCTGTCCCCCGTTTCGTCACACACACCTCGCCTCTCCTGAACACGTACTCTGTCTCCGACGACGGCCCGGTGACGGACGATGTCGATGTTGACGTTGCCGGCAACGGCTCCCTCACCATGGATGGGCGGCCCACGCTCCTTCCTCTACCCGCCAGTGCCCTGGCTAGTGCTCCGAGCACTCCGGGCACGGTCTTTGCTGGGATGTCGTTGGAGAACGCAAACAACGCGGCTAGGTCGGGCCTGATTGAGCGCTCGGGTTTGAATGTTCTCGCAGAGGCTGCCGATGTATGTGATGAGTGAACCTGATGTACTCTCCCCTGTGTACCGACACTGAATCTGCAATGAATCTTAGTTTCTTGAGTATGCAAACAGGCCCGATGTGCCTATGGACCTAGGCGGCGATGGTGGGGTTACTCCTGGTCGGTCCGCGTCGCCAAGCGCTGGTAGGCCTGATATGGCAGGAAGGCCTGTGCATACTGGTACGCAGTCTATGTTTGTTTGCTGTGCGTCCCCAACTCTTATGTCTTGTGTGTGTCAGACCACGCGGTTCCTGGTGTTCCCATGGACCACGAGGTGTTCACTCGTCAGCAGCAGGAGTTTATCAGGTACCAGCTGCAGCACGATGAAGTCCGCGCCAATTCTGCACATGTCCGACTCCCTCGGGCGCAGTTCTACACCAATCGCACACCCCTCCCGGAGGCGGTGGACCCGGTGCTCTTCCGCGGCTACGCCCCGATGGAAGTCGATGGGCATCCGGCGCCGCGATCGCCTCTTGCGCATGCCTGTGTGGCGCCGTCGGATTCCTCCGAAGATAACCTCTATCCTCCTCCTCCCCTGGACGAGAACCTTGCGGATGATCCGCCTGACGCGCCGCAGCTCGTCCACCTCTACGATGGTGCGGAGATCCCGGGACAGGTGCTCCATTCTGGCGAGGTGCGCTACTCGCATGACATCCCGGTTCGTGCATCCGCAGCTGTCTCGGCTGCAATTCCTGGCGCGTCCCGTGACATCCCTCAAATTTGGCACTGCGGCGACTATGTGCAGGACGCAAGGCACCTTGCTGGTGGCCATGCCGCTCCTCCCCAGCCTGCGCCGCTTCCTCCTGTGCAGCCGACCACGCCGTTTACGGTCCTGCCTGAGTCTGGTGCCCCGACGATGCACTTCGACGATCCGGAGTTCTTGCTGAAGGGGCTTGCGCAGGAGCGCAACCATGTGATCTTCCGGCAGCCGCAGAGTTCGATCGCTCTTGCACGCATCTTCAATGGCGGCGTCCCTCGCGCGAACAATGTCAAAGCCATGTCGGACTCCCTTGGGGATACTGTCCATGCGATCACCGGTGCGAGGGACTTCATTATTGTCCCGCCTGCCCAGGCATGGGGGCAGGAGCTCTCCCTCCAGGACCAGCCGCAGACGTGGATCATCCTCCGCCTGCGCCCGGAGCATACTCGTCGGCTAGTCAGTCAGATGCTCTGGTCGTCCCACAAGATCACGATCATGGTCTTCAACCGTGACGTCAAGTTTGGTCGGTTCATCGGGCGCGTTGGCTACTACACGCATAACATTGACAATGACATCGAGAACTCCATCCGCAACGCTTTCTCCGGGCCTCTTATCCTACCGAGCATCCGCTCGCTCATCGCTAGCCACCCTTCCATTGCTGCGGACGACATAGACCCTACTGTCCAGCGGGTCCTCGCTTCCCTCCGCGTCAAAGTCGTCGAGTACCCCAATGGGAACATAACTGCAAACGTATTCTGCGACTCGCCGGCCGGCACGGTTGAGCAGTGGCGTACGTGGGTCGCCTACGTCCGTACGGTGCCCCTT